GCTGGTCTACAGGTACAAGGTGCAGGCGCACTGATCGCCGACCGCACGCCACAAGGTCACTTACTGTTGTAATAGTTACGATTTTATGTGTTTTATATCAAAATTTGGACAATAGCAGAGTAACCGCTGCCCAGACATCTGTAAAAGCAGATTCCTTATATATAAGGAGGAAAGATTTGTATTTTTATATTTTTGCATGTAACGAAATAACTCAAAAACTACTGAACTGGAAAAAAAAATTTTTTCAACATTAAAAGTTATGTTATCAGTGAGTAGCATATGAAATATTTGGTATTATCTTCTAATATCAAGTAGACGAAATCGCGAGCAACAGCTGGTTTTATATAAATTTCTTAAATTTTTCAGGTAAACGAGTTTCAAGAGATGTTCTTCCTGGGAATGGTGCGTGTTAGCTAATTCTAGCAAACTTATAATAAATTCCACTTTCATTAAATAAACAGGCTTCCTAGAGTTAGGAGAAATTATTCAAGTTACTGTTACATACGTTTCAATGATTCAGAAGTACATTACTTTTGTATAAAGAATTGTGATTGTTCGGCGACATATCAAATAGGTTGAAAAATTGAAAAAACAAGGAATGTCAGATAAATATGTACTAGCGATTTTTTTTTCTTACCTTTTACAGCTATAAATGAATATCAATGATTTAAAAAATAGATAATTTTTTCAATAATTTTTCTGACCTTGTATTTTATTTTTCTGACATTATTTGTTCACATTCCATCTCTGTTTGGATAATTTTCAAAAATACATACTGTATTTTTAATTAAGAGATTGTTTATGTAAAAAAATCTTATAAAAAAAAATGATTTTTTAAAAACCGTTAGTTTTTTGTTTTGATTCTGGCAATTCTTGTATTAATAATAGAAGTTTTTGTCTAGTAGTAATTTAAATTGTAACGTAGAAGTAATCTCGCATACTTGTGCTTTAATGACAGCGCCATTAAAAAAAAACTAAATATTTTTCGAGTCTTTATTACTTAAGAAAGGAACCTGAAAAAATATTTTTTCTAACTGCATTCCAATACTGTCTACCGCCTTTCTCTACTTTTGTATGAAGATTTTTTTTGGTGCTTTTTGTTTATACAATTTTGTATATACCGCATTTTAATATTTTTGTTTTCATCCATATTGTGATTATGGAAAAATTATATGTGTTTCAGATTTTTTGATGCGTAAATTAAAAATATAGTCGATTTTTTCATCTTTTAAACAAAGGAAACGTAAAGAGAATTTGTCTCGATCAAATTATCATATCAATTATTTAATTATTATTTTTTGGCATTTATATATTTTTCTAAACGATGAATAAATAAAAATAAGTACTTTTTGTTCCCTGGTGACATTTGTAGATAGTTTGTAAATATATAACCTCGTGTGAGGGTTCATCACGAATATTTATGAGAACCATTACGTAAAAAAATAGATTTTCACTTATTTACACCAATAAATCTCATACATATTTGTTGATATTGAGAATAAATTCTCACAACTGTTACGTAAATTTTCGTGATATCCTTACCTCAAACGTAATTTTACTCCCGGTTTCTTGACACTTCACATTTTACTCCGTTTTTTAAAGAGAATGGATCAGTTTTTGTGATTGTCTCAGCAAACTGTTAGAGCCTCTGTTGACTATACTTTTTTTAGCCGAAAGATTTAAAAATCACATTAAAACGCGTTATATGCGCATTTACACTGACATACGACAAAGTACAGTCTGCAGGGACTCTAAAGCTTACAGTAGCTCAGTTTTTTTTGAAGAGTAGAACTGTTCAGTTAAAACTGAACGTCTGTAACGAACTGCATTCATTAGGTATTGGGTCTTTACCAGTAGGAGGATAATGGTATTCATATATGTAAATTAAATTGTTGAAAACATATCATTTTTTATTTAATATCCCTCGAATTTCATTTTTTATTTCTAAATAGCTGTTGCCAGCGTATTTGACGCGCAGTATTAATAAAAAAGTACTTATCCCTTGGGAACTTAGTATTTTGGGGATGAATCATATGGTTACTTCAGACTTTGTTTTACATATGTGCAATGTACGTTGGGCCGTTACAGAATTATCAAGTAAACTTGAAAAAAAAAAAACAGAACCTGGAATCTCAACTATTTCTGAGATCAAATGTCCGTCTATGTGTTTTTCCATATTATCCTCTACATTTATGCTAAATTTCAATGAGATCCCTTCAGCAATTTTGGTTGCAAAATTCCACCCGTCCATCCAAATTGTCACATTATATACAAGTTGTTAATGCGAAAAATGTAAATCCTGCTATTATTAATAAATGGATCTCCTACCAATATTAGAAATACGAAAGATTAGATGGATGCATGTTACGAGTTTGTAGCGAAAAAGTTGAACGGATTTTGATGAAATTTGGTATAGGTATATAGTCTGGAACAACACATAAGCTACTCACTTTCGTTTTTTTGTAAATTCCACGCGGGTGAAACCCAGTTTATAATATTAGTAAGAAGGAAGGTATGATTAAATAAAAATACAATTCACATTTAGTTTCGGTTTACTAATCAAAAATTAAATGTAGGTACATAAACATATTCTTTTTTATTAGATACATTTCTTTATAAATACTACAGATACATAAAAATTAAATATACTCGAATATTCCAGTCATATTAAATAATGAATTATGACTAGGTAACATGTACATTCTTAAAAGTAAACCATGGAAATAATACAAAAAAAACTTTTGTTGCATTTGGAATGCATTGCGGAATGCTCAATTAATTTAAATTTCTATGGCATTGATTTTACTACGTACAAATCTTTGATATTTTTTAGTTGTAATACAATAATTACAATACTTTTTAGGGATAGAAAATATTAAAATAATGGTACATAATATAAATACAAACACTACATTACATTATTTAATCAAGTCTCAATGGCTACAATATAATTCAGAATACTGCTTTAATAAAGTCAATAGTCAGTTTTGAGCACAAAGGAAATGTTATTATTCATGTACTCAATTGTATATACTTTGCGATATCATATATCATATACTTAAGAAAATACAGGTTGTACCAAAATTATCAATTCTTAGGACGACGTATTTACAAACAAAACATCAATTTAAGCCTGATACATAACTGTACAATTAAAATTGGCATGTGTACACTACATTTTAGCTATCAGTTAAATTGTTCAGTTCGGTTGCCTACACATGTCAGTTTTAATTGTTAAGTTTGATTGTTCGGTTAAACAAAACGCTTCAAGCTGCAAAGTTAAATAATTAGGTTTAAGGCCTGTCCCACCACTGATTGATAGAGGCTCAGATAGCTTAAAAATAACGTCACTGTCAGATAAGGAACCAAAATGGGATATTTCCATACGTTGGATTGTTAACAGATAACTCACAATTTGGTGGAACAGGCCCTTAGGCTGCATTTAAAAATAATACAACTGTATTCAGTTGTATTGATACATAAACTCCCTTGCAGTGGAGTTACGTTTAATTTTAGTTTATTCGTAGCATATTTTTTTACGTAAAAGGTGACAAAAGCCACCGGAATTCGTCAAAATAGCGTATCATCTATTTAATTGAGAAGGGACGCATAGAAAGCGAGATATTTTTTACCTATGCCTTCCATCCCCCATCAAATCCCTTTCCCATCTTTTCCTTATAAGAAAAGGATGGAAAGAGAAAGAGAACTAAAATTAGGATTGTCACATCAGTCGAAACGCGGAATTGCTTCCACTTCACTCGTAATACTACACCGGTAAGTTGCACATTAATGCAAAGATAAAGCGGGTTCTATAAATTTCCTCATCGTTCTCCATTTAAGAAATATATGACTAGGCATAACAAACAAAATTTTTTCACTGGTAATTTCTTTGACAGGTAATATATTAGTTGTCAGATTTAGTGCCACTTCGCGTTGTATTGACAATTAACAAAATTATAATAATATACATGTTTTAATAAACTAAACAGTGCCATAAAATAAAATAATTCAAATTTTTAATGACATCTATTGACATGGTTTTGAGGTTATCAACAGATAGCGTTACTGGAAAAAAAATGTTTCAAGTGAAGTGTCAACTATGCTTAATCTGTATATTTTTTAATCTGTTTTTATCGTTTAAAAACGTAAACTAGCGACCCAGCTGGTGAGGTTGGTGAGTAACACGATCTGTGCGATAGTAGCAAGTGCTTGTACAGTGAACACGGTCGCTACGAAGTCGTATAACAATTTCGGCGAGAACACGGACCATACGAATAAATGATGTCGGAATGTGACGGCGACCACACAGTACACTGCCACAGAGTAGATACGGTGCAGTGCGTATATATTACACACTCGCCATACTGATTGTTGATATCTGGAATAAAAATATTCTTCATTGAAAATTCAGTTATTACATCAATATCGTATTATCGCCTTATTTAGGAAAACCATTTTTTATTATTACCACAATATAGCTTTTAAGATCTGTCCAGAATGACAGAAACCAGCACAAAAAATAGTGTACCACATATATGATATTAATAAAATGAAAACTGACAATAAAATACATAAATTGCACACAGTAAACAAATAAAGTAGGCATAAATGAGTAAAGTCCCATGTTTAATGAGCCAATACCTTCCGTTTTACACTTTCATCTTAACATCTCGTCATCTTAAAAAAATAGCATCAAAATGATTAAATCAAATAAGCATTGTCTTTGGAATTAAAAAAAAAGTATTGACCGTTAGTACCGTACCCGTTTGTTCATCGGTTTGCCCATTGACTACTCGCGATGCCCATAAGTACATTATCAATGTAAATTTATTTATTTGTAATTGAATAAAAATAGAATAAAAGCACCACTGACCGTTGCCAGGTATCGCTGTGCCGCGCGAGGCGTGCGTAGAGCGCGGCGCCGGCGAGCGCGGGCGCGGCGTACGCGTGCAGCCCCATGCGCAGCGCCACGCGCACTGCGCTGTACTCGCGCAGACCCACGTACCCTGACCCCAGGTCTACTGACGCTAGGCTGTTAGAGTTGCCCTAACACCATACCAAACATAGATAAATAATCCTGAATATAACGGTGTAAATAATGCGAAGTTCATACCAAGCCAGTACAGTTAATCAATATTGCTCAATATCTGGACTGACATTAAACTGGCATAATATGAACACTAACTAATGCCATTGAGCCGCTATATTCTATGATTGGGCAGCGCAACTGTCCAACCGTACTGGCCAAGTGTGAACCAGGTATAAATAAAGCGTAGTTCTTTCCAAGTTAGTACATTTTAAGATTCATTACGAGAACGTAATGTCGCTTTAAATGTATATGTACAATTGTGCAACATCACTCAATATTTGGGCAGACTTTCAACTGGGATAATATGAACAGTAACTGACGTCACTGGCGTCCATGCAATTTATTATTGGCCGTTGCAACTGTCCAACTACACTGACCAAGCGTGAACCGGGCATAAAGCCTACTAGGACACTTTTGGGAGGCTAAATTTTATCACTGTCGTCATTTAGTACAATACAAAAGGAAATCTTGAATTAACTATGTACTATATGTCAATCTTATATAGAGCTTATATGATGTATTTACAGCACTCTTAATAACAAATAATCTAGATTCTGTACTTCAATTTGAAACCAGGCCTAAATTAAAATTCTGAAAAAAAAACTTACCTGATAAAAGAAGAAGACCATTCCAATCCAGACATGAACGAGAGACTGTCCTATTAGATCAGCAACCTCCTTGCCTTTCCCCGTTCTTCCGTCCAACAATTTGTGATCCAAGCACTTTGATATCATCACACTTGTCACAAACACACTTGGAACCATAATCACATTATGCGGTCTCATTAATAATATCACAATTAACATTAAATCGTTCAACATTATATGGGAAAGAGACCGAGCTAGATTCAACTTCACATTATCCACATTCCAAGGTTCCTCCGCTGGTTCATAGAAATAATCTTCAGTTTTCACTTTATGTTTATTATATCCAAATTTATTAGTACCGGGATTGCATCCACAACTTTTAAATATCCCAGCGTATATAACAATTTCATATAAAGCTTGTATTATTAATATTGCCCAGAAGATGTTGACTATTGTTATCGTGTCCCAGGACTTTATATCAAGGAATGGTGACTCTAAAGTGTCCGAGGCTATTCGGTAACTTAGTATGCAGATTGTAGCTAATATTGTAAGTATGGAATGCACATACATATAGTTATTCATATATCTAACATTCCATAGACAGATACCCAGTGTTGTTAAAGTTCCTGAAATATAAAACAATTGGTTTTTAGTTTTTTTTAATTATACGATTGTGCGCCTATCATTTGTATGTTCTGCTTTTTTGTCTATAGTTTATTTTTTTTTTGGTTGTGATCTTTAAACCAAAAAGACTCAACCCAAACTCTTTTTTATTTGTCTTACGGGAAGGGTAAGAGTTGATGTAAAATATATCCTACTAGCTTTGGCCCGCGATTTCGTCTACATGGAATTAAAGAAAACTAAAGTAAGGTATGTGTTATTCCGGTCTATGCACTACATCTATGCCAAATTTAATCGATATCCATTCAACAGTCCATCCATCCACCTTTAGCATTTTATTAGTATAATGTTACTCAGTGATAATCTAGTTTTCTATTGGCTAAAGAATTTTTGTAATCGGTACAGATTCTGTGCCTATATTATGCAATCAAATACTACTGTTCATATTAGTATTTAGTAATTACCTATTAAAAGATGTGCTTGCAGATAGAATGAATTTTCAGGAGCATTTAGCCAGTCTGCAGTATCTGGTAGAAATAGCCATCTGTCTCCAGTTTGGTTCATTGTTCGAAGATACCTGAAAATAAAAGAAACATAATTTAGTCTATAAAAATGCATTCTAAATTTAAAAAAAAAATGTTTTATGCCTACCAAGTTTTAAATAAATCTAAGGAAATAAGAAGCTATGTTGCAATATGGAATTGCAGCCATAACTACAACAGTTGCTTTATTAAAAAAAAACATAAAAAAAAGAAAATTAAAACCTTAGCCTGGAGGCTATTAAGTCACTTCTTAATGCGCAATCTTTTATATTCATTGTTATTTTTTGTATAAGGTGAAAAACGAGCAAACGGTTATCGGAATTCGCTAAAATAGCGAAGCTACCGCTGCCCATACAGATCCGCATGCACACAGAGAAGATAGTTAGACCCTATGTGAAAATATCTCATCCCTTTGCCATCCCTTCCTTGTACGAAAAGAGTGGAAAGAAGAAGAGATATTTCCCAGCTATACTCACCTATGCAAAGCGATAAGTAACACCCACTGTGGCAGTATACTGACTCCCACTGAACTCATTCTCACTTCCAACTCCGGCTTCTCCTGCGTCTCCGTCGCGCCCGACCATCTCTTACTCAAATACGTCACAATCACCACCACAGTGCGTACCAACACAAAGAACATCAACGTATTCCAGTAAAAATACCAAGTCATATGCTCTTCTTCTATGAAACTAGTGCCAAAGAAGGACCAAGAATGAAACAGAGTTCCATATATCAATAAATAATCGATTGCATTCAATTCTTTTAATGCTGTCGTATCTTTGACTTTTTCGACACCGGTTTTGATGACAAAGTATGCGATAGTAAGAACTAAAGACGCGGCGAAGAAGGCGATAGACCAAAGTGGGCTGAAAGAACAGAAGGAACTCTTCGTTTCTGTGATGAAGCAGGAGATGACGAGGATGATGGAGAAGATGACAAACATGATGGCGAAGGCGAGGAGTAAGCCGACTGTGGAAGGCTGGTGGTGGGTGATACTTGGCTTGCGTATTTCTGTTTGTAATGAATACAGAGTGGCGCAAGATGCTGCAGCCGTCAGCTGAAACAAAATAAATTAATAATGCATTTCTTATTACAATGTCATGGGAATTTATTAAATAATGTGATAAAATTGACAAAAAATCCCGACTTATTGAGGTTATAATAGTTTAAATAACGCCATCTATTGGCTTTTTGAAAACAAAGTTTTTTTTTTAAACAATTTTAGCGGAATAAATTGTAATGTTATATAGCACTTTCTTATTTTACAACATATTGAAAAATATAGCGAAAAAAAGATTTAGCAATAAAAAAAAGTTATGGCGAATGAGATTCGAACTCGTTGTCAGTCGTAAAAAAATCGGTACCCAAATTGTATTCTGGCAATAAAAGTGTTAAAACCGCTGTTTCATGTACAACTAGTTTTCGCCCGCGACTCAGTCTGCTTAAATTAAAAAAACAAAATTAAGTTGACTACGTCTATACAATTTCATCGAGATCCATTCCGCCATTTAGGTTACAAACTAACAAACATCCATCCATCTATCAAAACTTTTAAATGTATAGAGATTCTTACAATATACATCAATACGGTGGCGAAGTTAATAGCGAACAGGTCAAACTCCGCGGTAGTTTCTGTGAGGTATTTCGACATAGCTTCGAGAGACTCGTCATAGAATTCCTTGGCGATCTTAGCAGCGCTCTGCTGTCCTGTCGCTAAATACTGAGCAAACTGCTTCTCCGCTCTTTGAAACTGCTTGTAGAACTCTGAAAGACAACATAATAAATACTAAGCCACCAAATTGTAAATTTTTTAAAATGTAAGATAGAAATATCGGATTTTGTTCCATCTGACAGTGACGTCATTATTAAGCTATCTGAGCCTCTATCAGCCAGTGGTGGGACAGGCCCTAAAACTTATGATTCTATAGTATTTATTAGTCTGAGAATAAGAAATTAACTTTTTTTATTTACAACGATGAGTGAAGCACGATAATGATCGAGGGGGGAGCGCAATGATAAAGGGGGAGGTGAAGGAGTAAAAATTTCTATTTATGATTTATTCTAAAGATAATAAATATCAAGAGGTGATTTTTTGAATCAAAAATTAACAAGTAGTTTTTAAGTTATTTTTGTGGGTTTGGATTGTAGACGGTTAAGTAATTTAAATTATATATTTTTAACTACTTTCTACTATCTAGAAGCGGTGGGGGGTAAGGGGTAGCTGTCAATCACTGCCTCCTTAGACACCCACACGTAGTAACATCCTAAACATTCGCATTTAAACAGTAACTGTCTTACAACTAAACGCAGTATAAAGTTAAACTTAGTAAACACCTGAAATGACGTATGATAGAGTTATTTGGGGGACAAAATTATTGCGCCGACGCTACGGGAGCAAGATAAGGAGGATGATGAGGAAGTACTAATATTAGTAAAGTTAAACTTATAAGCACTAGCATTAGCAGTACTTATACTCAGTTTATTCCTAAGTTTATCTGTTTGTAAGGCTGTAAAGCAGTATACCAGTGTCAGTGGGCAGGCCCTGCTTGGCGCTGTGCGCGGCCAGCACGTGCAGCAGGTAGAGGTGCTGGCGCACGTCTGCGGGCAGCAGCGC